TATTAATTTTTTATATAAAATAAAAAATGAAAAATAATTATCTTTCTCGATATTACATCAGCGCCCGCATGTACATATCAGCGATTGGGAACATCTCCACCATTCTCCGGTACTTGTCATTGAGATATGTTCCCAATAAACGGTTGGGATGATGTCGGGCGCTGATGTGAACTCCTTTCTCTACTTGAGTCCCCTGCTGAATAGTTCGACTCTATAACCTCCGTGGATTGCAGAAAGGCTAATGCTAGAGCTAGAATAGAATCCCGGGCTTGGCTTCCAGCTGGACCAGGACCAGGAGCCCTGAAATCACAAACCCAGGTTTATGTTACGTGGTGTGAGACTGTGAGTGTGACGGACAGGCACACTCTCCTTCATTGTCCGTTTGCAAAATTGTCAACCGTCGTGGTTTTGAACTTCGGAATTTAGATCCGCGGACTTCCAGTTTCCTTTGAACTCTTTTCTTTTTTTTTTGTTTTTTTTTGAATGAATTTCTGTTTGTTTGGTTAGCTTCGTTGTTTTCATGACCAGCCGTGAACAAGTCCACTCCATTCAGAAGAATAGGGTAGAGAACAAGGAGAAAGTCGATGACAGCGATACCAGGGGTTGGACTCTCATGGCGGTCGAAGGTATCTCAGAGACCATATTTGAACCCACCTCTATCTTCTCCTTGTCGCGTCTCCTCTCAAATTAGACTGTCTCGTTCGGTTGGGAAGAAGAAGATCCTCACTCTTCAGAAATCTGAAGAAATCTTCAATGCCGCCAAGGTACGAACAACATCGTCGGATTGTGTTTTGTGGTTTCTGTAAGATGGTTTTGATCCAAAACTTGAGAATATGATATTTTAGTACTTGATTTTCGTTAGTTTTCCCGATTTTTCACAATAGCTTAATATGTCTAACAGTAGGAGACCGAATTCGGGCATTTTCAGTAGCGACAAGACGACTTAACATATTTACCTATGCATATTTTTCTTCCCCGTACTGTGAAGCTTATTTTACGATGTCAAACCAACTTTAAATTTTTATTAAAAAAAAAAAAAGCCACCATTCTCCACAAATGCGGATACCCGAAGCTTTTCTTTGAAAAAATGACATGTGGAAAATGATAGAGGCATTTCCTAATGTTACCAAACAAGCACTCTCCATTTCCTAATGTTACCAAACAAGCACTTTCCATATCTTGTGTATAGGGTTTTTGCATTTCCTATTCTACATTAGATGTTCAACTATTCAAGATGATTTCTTCACTGGTTAGAGGAACCCTATAGTTTTAGATGCTGAAGAATAGAGCCATTGAAAAGTATTTCAATTATTCAATATAGATCAATTGATGAAGCTATCTATTTTAAAATTTATTGGATTTCGTCTGCATTGTAAGTTGCCTAATTGTAAATGGAGATGGCATTGGGATATGAGCGCAAGTTTTAGTTGGGTTTTAGTACCATATAGATCTCATGTTTTGAACTTTGTAAGCCAATACCATCATTTGAAGTTTAAACAGGCCCACTGTAAGACCTTGAAAGCTGCTTTGGTGCTCAAGTAAAACCTTTGTGCTCAGAGTTGAATATTAGTTTCAATAATTTTTGGGCATGTCTGGATGTTTGTTTCTCATTTTTTTTTTTTGATAATTATCTGGATGTTTGTTTCTTAGAGAATAACTTTTCTTGCCTCTTGATGTGCAAGGTGAATATTCTGTGGCTTCTCAACTTTCAATATGAATTTGCAAACTTGATTGTAGGATTTGATGCCTGGAGGTGTAAATTCTCCGGTCAGTGTCTTCAATTCAGTTGGTGGACAACCCATTGTAATAATTGATTATGTGAAGGGCTCTCACATGTGGGATGTTGATGGCAACAAGTGTATTGACTATGTTGGCTCATGGGGCCAGCTATCATAGGACATGCTGATGACGAGGTGATATTCTTTCTCCCTGTTTTCTAACCTTGGATAAACATAAATTGGCTCTGTTTTGGAGGAGTGCAAATACAAATATGTTCAAGTGTAAATGCAAGGTTTAGAAATGTAAATATGGACCCTATACAAGGTTTTGCACTGAACATATTTGTATTTGCACTACAGATGTTAGATCAGGAAGCCCAACAGCATTTATTATTCACATTTTATTAGTTATACTTAAATAAAGACATGCTCTTTGGTTGGGCATTTTGAAAATTTGGCTGGTGCTGATATTTGAAGTTTATGAAATTCTTACATAATCCATACTCAAAAACTTCCTGGCTATGTAAAGAATGATTTACACATGTTTTAATCAGTTTCTTTAAATTTTGTGCCAGTTTCCTAGCCACCGTTCACTTGCTTATCCAGTATCCACCCAGTTAGGTTGCTAGACAGTTTTCAAGGCTAGCCAGCTAGACATGCCTGGTACATAAAAGCATAGATCCTATTCATCTTCATATTAAGAATGTCTTGGGTTCATTACATTTTAGTGCTTTTTAGCCTATTTCTGACAGTCCTCTTAGTTAATTTCATTACAATGTACTGCTTGATTAAAGCTTCATACAACTTAGCCTTATGCCTACTATATAGGATGTATTACATGAATCCTGTTGTGCCATTCCACTCCGATAAAAGCTTCATATGGTTTTCAAATTGTTTATATTCTTTTTTTTCCTTCAAAATAGCTATTTGAATAAAACTATACTGGATTTATCAACTTGAAAGAACTTGGCTAGTTTTATTTAGTAGTTGCTTTTTTTATTTGAAATTTCATGCTTTTTCCTCATTTAGATACTCCTAACATTGTATTGCACATTTAAATCCCTCCAGAACATCCAACGCTCAAAAAGAAAGACCTTTTTTTGTATGATTTTTTCAAATTCCAAGAATACATGAACGCCTTCTCCCCAAGCACCTATGCAACTAGATAATCCAACTCCTAGGCACATGTAAACATCAAAATCATTGTTTAATCTCTTCAGAAACATTCTTTAGGGACATATCGTGTTGCTGAAATCTTGCAGTAATTTTTAAAACATTGTTTCCAATCTCTCCTAAGAGAGATCCATACAGACAAATATATAGGAGAAATCTTAGCATAGTTTTACTAACCAAGGCTCAATTTTATATCTGAATTAAAAAATTCAGGAATGTATTGCTCTCTCTTGTAATATCCCTGTGGATTATGATGACAAAGAACTGATTGGTGGCATTGTGGTAATACAGTTCCAGTTCAATGCTACACTTTTTATCCAAAAGTACTAATGCCATTTTTGTGCTTTATAGGATCATTATTGTTAAATCTTTCAGCTGGTATTAACACAGGAGCTATGGGAAATCTTTCCATCTGCAAAGTTAAAATCCATCTGATCAGATTATCATGACTGCATCTGATCTGCAGACTTACTGCCTTCTACAATCTTTTAATTGTCCAAATAAAAAATGGATTAGATGGTTTTGATAATCACTTTTACAACCAAATGTTGAACCCCAGTCTCCTGTTGTATACAATTTCTCATTAATCTTTTCAACTATGGCATCAATATATGAGATTTTATTGGTTTAATTATTTACATCTAGGTGCTTGCAGCCTTAGCTGGGACAATGAAGAAAGGCACAAGCTTTGGTGCTCCATGTGTTTTAGAGAATGTGCTGGCAGAGATGGTCATATCAGCTGTCCGAAGCACTGAGATGGTGCGGTTTGTAAACTCCGTCTTGTTCGTGCCTTCACTGGGCGGCAGAAGATCATAAAGTTTGAAGGTTGTTATCATGGGCATGCTGACCCTTCCTTGTCAAGGCTGGCAGTGTTGTTGCAACCCTTGGGCTCCCTGACTCCCCTGGGGTCCCAAAAAGTGCCACCTATGATACCCTTGCATCTCCTTTCATTGACCTTCCAACTGTAGAAAGGCTTTTTGAGACCAACAAAGAAGAAATCACTGCCATTATCCTTGAACCAGTAGTTGGAAATTCTGGCTTAATTGTGCCTAAACCTGGATTTTTAAATGCCCTTCATCGGATAACAAAAGAATATGGTGCTCTTCTGATCTTTGATGAAGTAATAACTGGATTTCGTTTGGCTTATGGTGGAGCTCAAGAGTATAACTCCTGATCTGACAACACTTGGGAAGATTATAGGGGGAGGCCTTCCAGTTGGCGCCTATGGAGGGAGAAGAGAGATTATGGAAATGGTGGCGCCAGCAGGACCCATGTACCAGGCCAGGACCTTGAGCAGGAACCCATTGGCTATGGCAGCTGGTATCCACACACTCAAGCGGTTGAAGGAGCCTGGGAGCTATGAATACTTGGATAAGATCACAGGAGAGTTCATTGGTGGAATTCTAAATGCTGGCCATAAGTTATGTGGTGGATATATTAGCGGGATGTTTGGGTTCTTCACAGAAGGGCCAGTATATAGTTTTTGTGATGCAAAGAAGAGTGACACCACAAAGTTTGCAAGGTTTTATAGGGGAATGTTGAAGGTATGTACTTTGCTCCTTCACAGTTCGAAGTTGGGTTACAAGTTTGGTACATACTTCTGATGATACTGAAGGGACAATAGCAGCAGCTGAGAAGGTCTCCCAGCGGATTTAGACCCTCAACTCTGTACCTCATCATTGTTCTTCTCTTTTAAGTGAGTTGTTTCTTTTGTAGCTCGGTTTTCCCAGGTAGTTTTTATAGGTTATCGTCATCTACATGTCACAATTTCTGTTGCTTTATAACCTTTCCGGTGTAGCCTTTGGCACAATAAGTCAATAAAAGTTGATTGTAGTCCTAGTGGAAACTACTGTCTTCCTACTTGTTTTCATCCACCTTTATTAGTATCACAAGATCTGTTTCTTCTGGTAACGGTATTTTAAGGAAGTTGCATATTGCAAAGATGGTTAATATAACCAAATCGGAGGCAACTACTTGTCTGTTGTTTATCCTTCCTCCAGTTATTGTAAGAGTACAGATAGATGAGTCAAGATATGTTGGGACTGTAATTGTATTTCTTCCACAGAGATTTCAAGATGTTGCAAATGAATATTACCAATAAGACAACAATTTCAAAGTGGTATGCGACGTAAATACATAATCTATTGTATCCACTAAATTGTATTCAATGCTTACATGAGAACTCTGTCGGCATAAATAACCATATGGGGAGAAACATGTAAGGGATAAAACAAAATTCTATCGTCGGAGGGGTGAAAGATGACCAGGCCAGGATACTCGGTCTTTTGTATTAAACATGGATGGTGAAGGAAGCGATGCAGGGTAAATGATGGTCTTTTAAGATTGAATGTAGGTGGTGAAGGATGTTAGGCAGGGATTAAAGGTAAACGGAGGAGATGGGGAAAACAGAGCAGAGGAGGGAATGGGAAAGACAGGGAAGGTGGCGCTGGAAGCTGCATTAATGGATGGATAAGGTGGCAAGGTAGGCAAAGGCAACGAGGTTAAAGGTAAAGGAAATGGTGGCAGGTGGGGTTTAATGAAAACCCAATGGTGGGAAGTAGGGCAAAAAGAACCTTGAAGAATTCAAACAACCTTAGAACTCTCTATTTGTACTTACCACACAAGGTAATATTCCTCTTGCGTGGTCTGTAATTCAATGCACCTAAGCTGTACACGCAGAGATTGACTTGCCTGGATATGATTGCCATTTGGTCTGATGTTTTTCTTAAGCCAGGAACATTGCATGAAGAAGATGAGCTCCCAATCAAGCTTGCTTGGCAAACTGATTCTATGGCTGGACCGTTAGCGCATTCAAATCCATCAACAGATGGGATTTCCAAACTATAAACACCAAATCGATCAGTAGTTCTGTTGACCGAGAAGGAGAGCCTCTCTGAGGTGGTTTGTGAGTTTGCATTGAACTTACAGTCCATGTGAACTTCCACATCTGTTCAGGTGGTTTAAACAATTAAAACCAGAAACCTACTGAAATCTTTACTTAAATCTACCCAGGAGGATCTGAATAATCTAGAATGCATTTATAGTGCCGAATTTTATTACCTGGTAAGAAGTAGCTCTGTCTAGAGAAGATATTGCTGGAGCATATATCACAATAAACCACCCCCATTACAGTGATTTTAGCAGCAGGTTTTGCTGGGTGAACCTTCAGAGAGAGCAAGGGAGTAAAGAAAGACACAAGAAGAAGAAAGACAACCCTTGGATCCATGGCAGCGAACATGGGAATGGGAGGAGAAGCTTCCACCCAAGCTGTGCTATTTAGTGTACTGTATGAATGAATAATGGTATGGTTTGATGAATGAATATTTTATACATAGAATGAACCCGTGACTAGTTGAAACGAGTAGAGAAGCTTTTTATCTCCTCACTGGAAAACAAAGACATGTGAAGGGATGATGGCAGAGAGAGAAAGAGAGAGAGGTGGGGGGGCTGTAGTCCTACCGGCGGATTCACAGACGGTGGAGATTGATGGGGAGAATCCATACATTCCTAGATTGTGAAATTAAGAAAGCGGAAGAAGGTAAAGTTATAAGGAAATCCATCGGAAAGGAGGATTGGAATCTTTTTTATGTTTAGTTTGGGAAATTAGCACCTTTGGACTCCTTGTCTTATTCTATTGCTAGTTTGCTATATCAACAAAATGTTTTTTAAGTACTTCACTGTCTTCTTTTGTCTTGTTTTGGAACGATAGTAGTGCCAGTACGTAGGCATGTGGATTTTGAATTAATATCTGTCTGTTATGTAGAAGAGTGTATCAGGTGTATCAACTATTAAATGCATCACTGTGACACTGTATAGAAGAATATGACACCTAGTAATGCTTTGTAAACCACAGATCAACATAGTTGTGATGTGGTGCTTTTTCTCGGTAAATTACAGGAAATTCCTTTCTTTTTTTTTGTGGGGAGGGGGGGTTGGCTGTCATTTTAACCCATTTATCTTTTTTTTTTTCTCTCCTTTTTATCAGATTCCTATCCATATTTGTTATTCATCTGGTCAAGGAATGGATAGATTCCTATCTCATGTAATGGAGTTTTTGCTTTACTAGTTTATGAAACCTAAAAATGTCCTTTAGGTTGACCTAAAAAATAATTTATAGAATTACTACCCATTGATGCCAAATCCCACGATGAGGTTAGAACTGTAAACTGCATTGACAAACCTCGGCAAGGGTGTCAATCCTGTAATCACGGAGCCCTAAGGAGGATCCTTGGGGGTGGACTCGTATGGTCAAGTCAATAGGACTAAAAATAAGGATGAGTTCAGGAGTTCAGCCTCCGGATTTCTCCTACTGACTTCCTTCTACTCCCCTCTCTATTAACTCAATAAAATGATGCCAGTTATTTTTAATCAAGTTAGAAGAGTCCGACTTTAGTGTCACAACTCACAACTAACCAACATCTTAACCCTATTCTCTATTTTACCCACAAGTAATTCAAATTTTTCCCACAATCCAGAAATCTTCTCAATATTGTTCATGGAAACTTAGGAGCTATACTCCTCCCAACATCTTCATCGGCAGCAACAAGAAAAATAAATCCAATATCTAAGAGAAAATTGAATGTGTATAGTCTCCTCTGCAACAAAACTATATGTCAATACCTAAAAGAACCTCTCTAATTCATGGCTCATATGCAGCGTTAAACGCATTAATACCCAAAAGAACTCAGTTTGATCCTTTATATGTTTTAAACCCACAGCTTGAAATCTGAACTAGTTGAGAATTATTTCTTGATCCTCCGAGAAATCGAAAAGTGGCTTTCGTTGAACAGAATGGTAAAATTAGAGAATGGGGAAGTGGATTTTGTGTATAATTAAAATAGATATTTTTGTTTTTATTTCTTTTATTTTAAGCTTAATAGGGCAAATTCGCTCTTCATAAAACAGATCACCCAATATTTTTTTAATTTTTAGAAACATTTAATTAATGCATAAAAAATAGGTATTTTCTTTAAAAGAATATCTGACTGAGGGATTAAAGCGTTGGTCAATCGTTACATTAAATAAGATTTAGGGACAGCCGGAATCATTTTATTGGGTTAGTAGAAAGGGGGAGTAGAGGGAAATTGGTAAGAAACCCGGACTGAATGAATCAAAGTGTGAGGTGTGTGTCGAGATGAACTAGCGTACATGATCGACTGTTAACTCACGAGTTCATATTGATGCCCCCACAGAGTGCGCTCCAGTCTCTACATTCATTACAAACATCTCCTGCGGTTGTCATTGAGAGATGATCCCAGTACATTATTGGGATGTGCTGTGGGGTACCCCATGGGCACACTCTGCAGATGCAAACTATTAATTCGCAATAAACATACAAATGTCAAGAGAATGGTCCAGTCGGTCGGTTCACATGTGATAGGCAGGTATTACTATTTCTGCATGTTGCGTTCAGGTCACCTAGTGGAATACCAGTCTGCACTTCAAGGTAAATTTATGGAATTACCCTGAGGTGGGACACGTTGCACTTTACTACTGGCACGGACAATTGAGCTGTATCACTACCCTTTTTCATTTAATACAATGAAAGAAGGATATTTGTAGTCATGTGTTGAGTTCAGCTTAGGTGAGGTTTAGGTTGACAGACTTACAGATGTGGAAGTTCACATAAACCATAAAGCCTTCGTCATGTGGTGAGCTCTGCTTCGAAGGTGTACTCAAGCAAGCCTGTCATAAACTCATAATATGAAATTGCATACAAATTAGACTCCGGATCTCGTGCCCACAACAACTCTATTTACACCTGTACCTCTATGTATTGAAAACATCTCCTCGTGCATAATACTATATAGGAGGATGAGATGCTCCTCGTGTGACTGCGATATTACGTGGATAGATGTGAGATATTATATAGGTAGGTGTGGGCAAAATTCTTGTAGGCAAGAGATCGGACTCTACAATTTATTCATTAGCAGCCCCCAAGCTGATTGAGTCCAATAGGCTTTATTCATAGTGAAGTTGTGGATTAAGAATTTAAGGGTTTGGTCCAGGAGTGAAATAAATCAGAACAAACCCCGCCTATGCAAATTGATCATGGTCCACACCATTCAGTTTGCACCATTGTTTTAAAAGGGAATGAAGAATTCGGAATTCATTTTTCACAGAATCCTCCTCACACCCATGCACGTTGCAGCCTCATATTGGAAATATCTCTACTTGTATGTAAGGGCGGCAATTTTTAACCCAACCTGCTCAATCCGCCCAACCCACTCATTTATTAATGGGTTGGGTCGTAATTTTTAATACTGGGTTCTTAGCGGGTGGACCAACCCAATAACAAAATTTTAAATGGGTTGAGCGGGTTGGGTCATGAGTGTCCAATGGATATCCATCTAGTTTTTCATCATTTGTTTATATCTTGAAGAGAAATCTCGACAAATTTCTCTTCCTCTACTAGTGGCAAGTCTCCTCTACAACTCTGAAATCTGAGGGCGACAAGTCTCTTCTACAACTTTCAGATCTAAGGGTGATAAGTCTCCTTTACATATTTGAGATCTGAGGGTGACAACTCTCTCTCTCTCTCTCTCTCTCTCTTTGAACTAGAACCCTAATCTAATGGCAGTAGTATCAGTTTGGAAGAAGATCAATTGTTGGAGGAAGAGAAACCATCATTTGAGTTAGAGTTTTGAGGGAAGAGGTTCATTGGAATTTGGAAGCAATAGTACTACAGTGTGTCTACAATGGGGCTATTGTTATTGTTTGCTAGATATCTAAACGACAAATATCCTTATATATGACGAGAGGCATTTTGCCCAACGGTGATTTTTCTACAATTTTTTGTAATTTTTCCAGTAGCTATTTATATTGTCTATAATTTCTATTATATTTCTTCACTCTTTATGTTTTTCTTTGATTTTTTATATCATTATCAAATTTTTGTTCTTTTTCTGCAATTTCTAGTTTTTTGTAATTTGTTATTTTTCTTCATTTTCTATGTTTTGCAGTGATTTTTATTATATAATTATGCAATTTCATTTTTTTATTTTTTATATAATTTCTATTAATTTTATGCATTTTTGTGTTTTGTTTAGACCTATTCATAGGCCGGGTAGCCCGACGGCCCAGCCCGCACCTCGGTTGGGCTTGGTCATGTAATTAGGCCCGCGGGCCTGACCTCAGGCCTAACACAATAAGCCCGACTGTGTTACGAGCCGGGCTCGGGATTTGTCAAAAAAGCCCGGCCCGACTCAGCATTATATATTTTATAAAATACATAATATGTATTTTATATATTATATAAAATATATAAATAATATAATATTTATTGAAATATATATATTTATAATTTAATATATACATTTTTTATTTTTTTCTTTATAATTTCTCTCTCTCTCTATTCAGCCACTTCAGTAGTAGTAACAAAATGGGATAAATTTCAGGCTCGGGCCCAGACCCGGGCTTCGGGCATTTTATGAGGGTCGAGCTTGGGCCCAAGTTGTAGGCCCGATGGTCGGATCGGCCTGGCCCATAAACAGGTCTAGTTTTGTTTAATTTCATTAATTAAACAAGTCCCATTCTCTCATTAATTTCATTAAATTATATTTAGGGTTAAAATATCTCTCATTAATTTTATATTTACTCCTATAGTTAAGTGCAATTTTTCTCTCTTAATTTTAAATTTGAATTTCAATTCCAACGCCTAATTGAAATTCTCTTCTTATTAATTTCATTAATTAATAACCCTCTTTCTCATTAAATTCGTTTTATTAGTATAAAACTACAAACTTAGCAATAGCAAGATTCAAACCTTAGACATTAGACTTTAACAAGTAGAGGTTCACCACTAAGCCATGCCCATTTGCTTGATATAGCTTTATGCATTTTTATTTTTAAATAAATTCTCTTTTTCTTAGTGTATGCTTATCAATAAATGTTAGAATTAATTATTAAAATTTATGTATTAATAAATATAAAGATAAATTATATTGATTGTTTTAAAACTAATATATATCAATATTCATTTTAGTTTTTTTTTTCGCGTTTTAGTTATTCCATCATTTGTGAATAATTACTAAATGCGTCCTGATATCTTGAATTCTATATAGACCATTAAACTACAGCTTTTTTTTTACTTTTATATTTTTAAAATTTATTTATAATCATATAATCATATAAAACTTATAACTATCGTTATTAATATATTTTTAGGATTTATTTAAGCTTTTTAGCATATTTATGTATATCATGATTTTTTGTCTGTATCTATACATATCCAAAGCGTATCCCGATACATCTCTTAAAATTATCTTTCCGATACACCTTACGTTTCCGATACTTTAAACCTTGATTTTATCTAAATGAGTTGAATTGGGTTAGATTCAAGTGGGTTTGGATTGAATCCAACACATTTAATTCGCCCAATTGCCACCTCTACTTGTATGTTTTCATTCACGGAGAAATGGTCCCAATGCACGGCTGCAGGTGTTGTGAGATGAGTATGAGAACCATTTTGTGAGAAGCAAATCTGGATTCGTGGGGGAATGGAGTTAAACCGCCTTCGTCTCACTTGCGTTGCAAGTCTAGGAGTTTGGATCTGATCCCAACAGCCATTCCAACCATACGTCGGAACATTTCCCTGATATATGGCTGCAATGGCGGTTGGGACCAGATCTGAACTATGAGTCTTACGTCTCAAATTTGATGAGTCACATTCTTTACCATCTTTGAAGTCTGAAGAGTCTGAATCATTCCCGTTGAGTGGAGCGAGACCCAAACCCAGGTGGGGAAAAACACGTTAAATTTTACTTTACATTCAAGATCATCTTCCAAATCCCTCCCAAATCGCCTTTTTATTCTATTTAATGCCATATCCAGGCCCAAGCATTATTTCACATTGCAAAAATATAAATCTTAGTAGGTTCTTTATTAGACCTATTTATCATTAATCCTACCACGAAGAAAAAAAAGGTTATCCTGCATTCCAGTTTCCTGCGAGGGTAATCCGTTTGTCGGAAATTGCAACGGATAATATACTTATAAGCATTACAACAAACAAGTCAACTTCAATGAAAGCATTGCATGGGTCCAATAAATTTCTGATGCATATCACATTTATCATGTTATTCCAAAGATGCAGAGATTGTGTTTGTATAAATGAATACATCGGTAGATTTATCAAACCTACCAAGATTTGATAATAATTAAAGGACAGTAGTTTTAGGGCACACACAACAACTGCGTATGTAACACCGCCATACACTGGTACATACAAACGTCTCTCCCATAGAACACAACAGGGTGGACGTTGGTCTACTTGGTATGATGGACATCTCTCCGGCAATTCGCACACCATGGCTCTAAGTAATATATGTAACTTGTACAGCATAATCAGTTCGGATGACAATTTCTTTTGTCCTCACAAAATGGAGCAGGAGCAAACACTTTTCTTCGGTGACTCGTCTATTTTCTTTTCTGTTTCATACAACCAGCACGAGGAGAGTTTTTATCAATCCACAGCAGCACAGAGCAAATATCAGCAGCACTAGTTTTCATTTTTATTTTAGTAGATGCAGAGGACCCAGCGTACATACATCCAGGTCAAGAGAACAAAAGCACAACTACCCTACAAGTACAAAAAGACAAAAAAAGGTGGTGATGATCCAGAGGCATCCGGTTTGCCATAACACGTTACAGCAGCATCATCATCATCTATACCTTTTTTCCAACTATATAGGATCAGTTACATGAATCCTGTTTCCCCAATCCGTTTTATTTAAAAGCATATATGATATCCCCTATTAAATTATTAGTACTTAAATTATTTCTTACTACTACTCATGTCCTTTTTAATCTGCCCAAACTCTTCTAACCCCTTCAACGTGTAACAAATCACGTCTAACTGGCACAGTTGGTTGTCTTCTATGCATGTGCCTAAACCAAACTACTCTATCATCTTATCATCTATTAGAGATACTCTTAAGTTCCTATGGATAACTTCATTCCTAATCCTATCCTTGCTAGATTTTCCACTCATCCGTCTTTCACATTCATTTTCATCTTGTTTCTTGTCTTGACTGCACAACACTCTGCTCCATACAACATAGCTTACCACTCATAACACGTTACAGCAAATTTTGGAAAAATATTACTCAAAAGCTCATTACTATTCCGAGGTTGTACGTGTATTTCACATCAGTGATCTTGTCAAACTGCATAGTTGATAGAACAGTTTTCCTTCGAATACACTATATGGACCAGCTCTTTAAATCCAAAAGGCTCTTGGCATAGAAAGCAAAATCCTGGAGGGGGTTGTTAGTGTCATCCCTCTAACCCCCACCCCCACCCTCCCACTCCTTCCAACAGGTAGAAAAAAGAACACAGAAGGCAGGTGCATGCATTTGGAAACATTTACCTGCCTACAGGTATCACCATGTCAGTAAAATCCCAAACTCTGGAAAACCATGAGCATGAAGTCTTGCTACCTTACATTTGTGCAAAATGATATAAAGCATATCAATAAAGATAACTATAGACTACTATGGGGCTCTAACTTAGTGAGACGTTTCTGACTTTGAACTGGAGAATAATACTAACTCTAATGAATGTTGTAAAGCAGTAAACAGCCAGCTATGTAGATAAGGCTGATAACATATATAAATGACTCCTCTGCACGTACGAGAGGCATTACTGCACCACATAGAGATAGCATCATAGAGTTCCAGTTTTGGGGCTCCTTAAAATAACCTAGAGGGTTTTGCCACTCAATTGAAGGTATAGTCCTGAAAACCTTTTTAACTTCTCAAAAAAGAAATTGAAACTTAAACTTTGGAAAAGGGCTGTCAAGAATGAAAACTAATTGAATAGACCTTATGGAATCTATAATGATTGAAGTCTATACTTTATACAAGAAATGAATTACACCATAGCTACTACTGGTGGAACAGCTAGATATCATTACCACATAAAATGGTTGGGTTGGGTAAGAGTTGAATATCAACCCACCCATATTGACCCACCAACCCACCATGACCATCATCAATCCTACATCATAACCCACCCTAACCCTAACGTACCCTGACCCACTTGACCCATCACATTGACATTTAACCACCCTCACTTATAAAAACAAAAATGGGTAGGGACAGCCCGTATACACAAAATAATAAATTTTGAGAGAATAATCTCTCTCAAGACTGTCACGTGACAAAAACAAGTCAACCCGTATACCCAAAAAGGCAAAAATTGTAGATAAATGCAGAAAAATACCAGAAAATTTTAGCAAATGTAGAAAATACCAAAAAATTGTAAAAATGTAGAAAAATACCAAAAAATTACAAAAATGCAGAAAATAACAGAAAATTGTAAAAAATGCAGAACTTTTATAAAAGTGCTTTTGTGTAAAAGTATTTTTATAAAAGTGCTTTTGTAAAAGTACTTTTATAAAAATGCTTTTATGCTTTCATAAAAGTGTTTTCGTAAAAGTGCTTTCGTATAAAAGTGCTTTCATAAAAGTACTTTTATAAAAGTGTTGTGCTTTCATAAAAGTATTTTTGTAAAAGTGCTTTTATGCTTTCATAAAAGTACTTTTGTAAAAGTGCTTGTGTAAAAGTATGTTCATGAAAGTACTTTTATAAAAGTACTTGTACTTTTATGCTTTCATAAAAGTGTTTTCGTAAAAGTACTTTAATAAAAGTGCTAAAAGTACTTTTATAAGTGCTTTTATGCTTTCATAAAAGTATTTTCGTAAAAACACTTTCATAAAGTGTTTTTATAAAAGTACTATTGTAAAAGTACTTTTGTGTAAAAGTGCTCTCGTAAAAGTTCTTTTCATAAAATTGCTTTTGTGAAAGTGTTTTTGTATAAAATTGCATGTGACCACGAAAGGTAGTAAAATCAATTTTATTTCGCTTTCATTAACAAAATGAAATTTGGCATAATGGTTTGGAAGTGTAATGAAATGTTTGTGCGTTAGGAGGTTTGGGTTTCAATCGCTACAGCTTCCATTTTTTGAGATTTGGCGAGTATTGACTTTAACCCAACCATCTTGACCCGCATGACCCAACCCATCCTCTCGACCCAACCCACCCTAACCCTTTTCCACTGACCCTAATGGGTTGCTCGACCCATATTGACCCATCAATAGATTGAGTGGGTATAGGTGGATTCAAAGGTGGGTGAGTTGGGTGGGTCAAATGGGTTGGGGTCAAGATTGCCAGCCCTATTACCACAATCTCACTCAAAGGAGTTGAATGTTAAGATAAATAAACAATACTAATATCACATGCTGATGACTATAGGACTAAGATGCAATATAATGTGGCATACCTGTTTTTGTTTTCGCTAAAGATGGTTGCACAACAACATGCATTGTGATAACTCCGCCAGGAAGCTCTCCAAAAGGTACTCTACATTGGCCAACGGTCTTGTTGTTTTCCAGGATTTTCCCAGCACATATCAGTTTCACATCACTTGCTGCCTTGGGTATAATTTTTTTGTCTGCAATTAACACGAACATTTTAACAGAATATTCACTAAAAGATGGGAAAAAAACGTATGGAAAAAACAACGGAGGCATTGCACAAAACCAACGTTAACAGTAAGCACCCCAATGCCTAAATGCCTTATCATGCTATTTTGCTTGCAAAATTGCCAGTACTGGAAGGCCACCAAAGTAATAACTGCAAATACTAATTGATCCAGCCCCAGTGCAAAATGAGATTTCGGTGAATTAAAAAATTGTACAGGCCGTCATCATTTATGAATTCTGGGACAACATTCTGTAGAGTGGACTGACAGTTTAGTCCCTTCCAACAACTTCACAAAATAGACTTGTTCTACCCACCTCTTCCCTAGCTAAACCATCGGGAAAGAGCAGGTAACATGTGGCATCATCATTTGACTAGAAGAGCTAGAATTCAACAAGTTTGGTTATCACTACCTCCCTATTCCATCTTGATGGCCATAGGCTCATAGCCTGGAAACAAAGCAGGTTAGGTATAGCCAGATGGAGGAGTTCGTGGGGACTGTAAAGGAGAAGTTTTTTTGGTATATTCAGACCCTATGAGTGGTGGAGACTCCATTTGGCTGCAGTTCTATCCAACTATAGGGACCATGTTTAAGTGTAAGATTAGGCTAACTAATTTATAGCTGGAAGGAATGTAGGATGAATGGGGGTATACTACAAGTTGACAGCTTAACAGATCAAAACAAAATATAGTTGAACAAAACTGAAAGCTGTTTACAGTAGATTTAAAGAGTTGGGTCCACTTGCTTATGCTTTAAGATCGAAATAAAAACACTGGAATTAGCATGAACCTGTGATTTCATGATTTTTTCATTGTCACAGCACTAATGAGTAATGAACAATGGTAGTAGTGTACAACAATAACAAGCCTAAGTGGCCGGTCACATCGAGTAGAAGAATGGGTAATTCAATTCAAAGTGGTTTTTATCATAGATTCACATACTTTAAATAAAGGAGAAAAAAATACAGGCTTGCCACCCAATGTCTTAACCCCTAAATTCTAAATAAGGAAGCACTACATGTGGATCATATTATAGGAGTCTTAGAAATCATATCATAGAAATCTTTAAATAAAAGAAAAAGAAAATAAATATTTGATAGCTTGCCAGTTCTTCATTATGTAGGTCCAATGGTAGGTGACTCCAAGCCATAGAAAGCCCGGGAATGGATTTCCAAACCGATTCGTTGCAGACCCCAGTAGAAAGCTGAGAAAAAAGGAGACATGAAGTCTAGGAAATAATATATCAATGTCAGGCTGCAATCATTCACCACACTGATGATATCTCTTCTCTGAACACTTCAGAAATCACTGGAAGGATATACTTTTCAATGCTGGATATAATGTTAGATGAACTTTCATAAATCACTGTCATGCTTTTATCTTATTAACCATGCTATCTTCCCCTTTTTCCAGTCTAATGATAATACACCATATCAAGCCAGAAATATCAAACTGCATATCAAGTTCTGATTCCCACTGCCCATCAACCTTAAATCCTGACCACCAAGTCTCTTTTCTTTTAGCACATAGAAACTTAGAAAGGTTCAACAGTGACTTTCTGAGATAGAAAGTATCCTTATTATCTGATAAAAGCAATTTCTAGCATAGAGAGCACAGACTGGAAAATACACATTCGTGCTCCAATGAAAATGTCCCTACATTTTTTATGGTAAACGAATATTCATTAAGATAAAAAAAAAAAAAAAGAATTATGGCAACTTGGTGATAAGAAATCACCCAAAATATAGATAAATCTTTCCACCTACACTCCATTTAAAACAAAACCCCTAACTGACCAATGACAACTCCAAACAAATCCTACTGGTTATGCAATACTATGATATATTATATTATTATGTACTTCTGAACCAAACACAAAAAGAAAGGGATGGCCAAAAGGCCCAAAACTACACATCTAAAAATAAACATAGACCCTCCCCGATCCAACTGCTGCTACATCTTCCATCAATTCAACCCATAAAAACCTTTGTTAATCCAATTTGAATACAAATCCTGAATTATCTATCAAAAGAACAAAAAAATACTGAAATTTATTGTGCAACATAACTACATCTTCCATGTATTCTTATTAAATCTTCACTCCACTGTCTTAACCCCCCCCCCCTCTTTATATTTAAGTTAATTCCATCTTCCATTGACTCCCTATGTTTCCTTCTCATAAACCTTATGCCCTTCCTAACATATAGCATTAATTTAACATCTACTTCTTTGTCTTCCTTCTGGTTTGAAGAAGACATTCCATGCAATTTTTCTCCCCCTAGAAAGAATAACCCAACTTCTTGCCAATATGAACCTCCCTATACACTACCATATTTATGTCCAGCTTTTTCTTTACTAGATGAGCCTCATCCACAATGCAGTCATTTTCAGCTTCTTCTTGAACTATTGGTGCCCCATCTTTTTTTATTTATTTATCAATGAAGATAACTTTTATTAAGCATCAAAAAGAAAGAATTGCATCAAGGTGGAAAGTTCACCACCACAAGAAACCTTAGATTTTTGCCCAAAAAAACTGTTGTCTTGTGGTCCCTTGTTTAGCCAATGTGTCTGCCATCCCATTTGCTGTTCTTCTAACCCATCTAAATGTGACATTCATCCCTCTTTCTAGGGATTCAATTTCATGGACTGTATGCCTGTAAACCCATTGGATTTGGGTACTATTCCTTGTCCATGAGATAACCACTTGAGAATCCCCTTCCACTTCCAAGTTAAGAAACCCAAACTGCTTAGCAAATGTAAGGCCCTGAAGAAGACTATACAACTCTGCTGTCACTGCATCACCATTGGTTACAGGACCTGAATATAAAGCAAACACCTTCCCTTCTGAGTCTCAAAAGACCCCTCCCATCCCAGCTATAGCCTGATTGCCTATGTAGCTACCATCAATGTTGAGTTTTATACGGTTGGCTGCTGGTTGTCTCTATTCCATCACTTTTCTTTCCTTGTTTTGAGCTGACATAGCCACCTCCTTCCACTTTCTCAGGATATCATTTAGAGATAAAGATTTGAAATTCTCCATTGACCTTACCCAATGAGCAACCTTTATTTTAACTGTTTCCAGGACTTCCAAATCAGTTCTACTCTTATCATTGAAAATCCTTCCATTTCTTTCTTCCCAAACAGTCCAAATCAATGCAGCTCTCACAGCTTTCCACATTATCCTTCCTCTAGCCTTTGATTATCGCAGGAAAGATGCTCCTGCACCCAAAGAGAGAACAAAGATGCTCCCAAATACCAAGCACAAAAGGACAGGATAAGAAAATATAGGAAATAGTTTCACCGTTATTTTTGCAAAGAAAGCACGCTTGAGGAGAAAGGCAAGTGTTTGGCCTTTGTTTCTGCAGCATGTCAAAGGTGTTAATCTTACCAAGGAAAACTTCCCAACAAAAAGCCTAAATCTTAGGAGGGATTGGCTTGCTCCAAATTTTTTTCACTAGGAAATTCACCCCATAAATAGAATGCTGAATTAGGAAGTTGAAGAAGGATGCACAAGTAAAAAGACCATATGAGGAAATGGACCACACCTTGTTGTCCTCAACGCTTTGATCAAAAAAATGGAGTCAAGTTTGGCCAAGAAGAGGATGAGAGAAACACACTCCATTTCCCTTAGACCTCTTCTAAACCCCAAATCCCAACTTAATCCCAAGGCCAAGAAATTCACAAACTTAGAGATGGGTTCACATTTATAGTTGGAAATTGTATAAAGCACAGGAAATTGGACCTTCAGTGGTTGACTACCTAACCAAAGGTTCTCCCAAAACAAAATTCTTGACCCATTGCCCGCATCATAGTGAATGAGATTAATAAAGAAAGAATATACCTCACAAATAGCTTTCCAAGGAAAGGAGTTTGCATTGGGGGCTATGTTTGCATCCCAGCCATTTTCCGACTGACCATGAACGCTAACAATCACCTTGTGCTAGAGCTTGTTTCTTTCTAGAGGAAACCTCCAAAGCCATTTTCCTAGAAGAGCTGAGTTCTTATTGAATTAAATTGCCTAAACCAAGCCCATCCCCTCTTCTTTGGATCTACTAACTTGTTCCTATTTCACCAAGTGGTCTTTCTTTCCATCCCCCAGTTCCCCCAAGAAATCCAACATTAGCTTTTCTAATTGCCAAGCAATTTTGACGGGTATACGAAAGGTAGACAAGAAGTAGATAGGAAGATTGGCAAAGGTGGCTTTGATCAAGGTTATCCTCCCTCCCAACAAAATATAATTCCTCTTCCAGAGAACCAGATTTTTAGTAAATCTTTCCAATACAGGCTTCCAAAAGCTCTTAGATCTTGGGTTTCCACCTAGGGGGAGTCCTAGATAATCCAAAGGCCAATTTTTTACTTCACAACCTAGGAGATCTGCTAACAAAAGAGCTTCCTCTTCTTGCATGTTCATCCCCACCACACAACTTTTCCCAAGTTGACCCTTAAGTTAAAAAGTTTCTCAAAGGATCTCACCAACTCTTTAAGGTTTCCTAGGGACTCAGAACTGGAGTCCTTACTGAAGAGGATTATGTCATCTGCAAATTGCAAGTGAGTGACAACAATCTCATCCCTTCCCACCCTCCATCCTCCAAACAACCACTCAACTCTATTTTTGTGATCATTCTGCTTAAGACCTCTGCAATTAAGGTGAAGAGGAACGGAGATAAAGGGTCACCTTGTCTTAAACTTCTCTTGGCTGGAAAGAAATCTCTAGCAAAACCATTAATCATAATTGAGTATTGAATTGTGCTTAAGCAACCCTTGATCCAAAGCCTCCAATTTCCCTAAACCCAAAATTCTTCAGAACCTCAGTAAGCAAAGACCAATCCACCAAGTCATAAGCCTTTTTTAAGTCCAACTTACAAATAAAACCTTTTCCACCCTTTTTCTTCTTCTCTGAAACACATTCATTAGCCACTAAAACCTGATCAACAATTTGTCTTCCTTCAATGAAAGCCCCTTGGGATTGGG